CTACTCACCTTTCTCAATGTTCCAATTGGGACAGCCCTCCCTCCTTCTCTTCCCTTCCTCCGTCCAAACCCCCGCACCTCCAATATCGCAACGCTCCGCAATATCAGTGATTTTACTGAAAACGACATATGCGACATTTTTATACGCACACTTTGAGCTCTCAGAATAAACAAGTGAAACAAAAATTCGAGTAATTTTTTTAGAAAATTTCGAAAATGTCCTAGATGCTTCAGATAAATGCAATAGAAAATACGGCCATTTCTAATTGATGAGACCATATCAGCCATATCGACTGGAGACTTATTATACGAAAATTCTATGAGCGATTTAGGCGTTATTGCTGTTCACAGAAAGACGGACGGACTCATGATAAAGGAACACTTTGTGAATATCTGCAAAGGATCTTTTCTGTTGCAAGAAATCGTTCATTAAAGGGCATTTAATAGCACAAATGACGTATTAGCATTTTACGGCGCGAATGATTAAGTCATCACACATTCAGAAAATAGCAGCGAGAGAATCGTGGGGACGTAGCGGCTAATGTAACTGGACCACAGTCTTCTCGCACAGATCTCAAATACCAGGGACATCAAGAGAAAGTTGTCTCGCAATATTAAATTTTATTGTCTTATAAAATTGTAATGCTATTATTCAAAAAATAGCGTTTGTAACTCGTTTATCATGTTGATAGCATTCGTATAAATTTGAAAACAAGCGACTAAGGTTGGCCAAAATACGTTCTCATGCAATGGAATTTAACATTATAAACTAATTGCAAAATCTGCTATTTCGCATCAAAGGAACACAAAACGTATATATTTGTTGAAATCTCGATATAGATGTTTTGCAGCATTATACGAATACTTTCTCTATACTACGCACGCGAGGAAGTAATGGCTATTATATGCATTAATTTTGAAACAGGAGAAACAATGGTGAATATCATAAGCTATTGTCTTACCAAACCCTCAGACGCCACGAACCGATCCAGATACTAAGGAATTTATCCTTAAAAGATTTCTGATTGAACTCACCATTAAACACTATGGTGTCTCCAGCTTCATTTTTCTAATTTTTCAATCGATGGAAACAAATACATTTTCTTATTTGTTTGTTTGTTTGGTTGGTTGGTTGGTTGGTTGGTTGGTTGGTTGGTTGTTCGTTCGTTCGTTCGTTTGTTTGTTTGTTTGTTTATTTATTTATTTATTTATTTTAATGAAAATGCTTCATTTGCATTTGTACTACGACACAGAATCATAGAGTAGAGATTGTATCTCTCCCCTATGGCACAGAATGCCCTAGCCACCGCCCGTTCTTTGCTTTCGTTCACTACCTAGCTACATCACGAGTCAATTCGTGAACGGGAATACAAGAAGTGATAAGAGCACAGTGTGGGAGAATTTACTTACACCATTATTAAGACTGCCAGTGATCTTCTTAAGATATAAAATACTAATTAAAAATAATTAATACTGTGGTTGATGAGATAAAATTATATTTTGTCGCATCGTTTATTACTTCTAATATTTAAACATACTTCTTGTAATTCTTCTGTAAGGAATTGGGGGGAATAGATTCATGAGCCAAACCAAACGTGTACGTAAAATTTTGTGAGCAAATGTGATCCAAAACGATTTGCTGATGGTGACTACAATCTTTATTCCTTGACTTTTCAAATTAAACAGCGGGAATGATTTTATTTCGTAGTATAAATAATGTGCCATCCTCTTTTGCAACTAAATATTTTAAATTTGATTTTATCATTATTTATTCTTCTCCGAACTTATGTTTATTTCTTGTTTTTTCAGAAAGATTTACTTATTATGTAGCTAAATCCACGATTGGCGCCAATTCGCTTTCCGTTTGACCTGAACCTCCAATCCCCTTGTTGTCATTGTGCATCTTGATTCGAAATTCGGGTTTTGGACGGTTCAGGCGTGTGAGAAGGACGATTTCTTTGTTACACTTGTAGTCGATGCCAAGTTACTGTTAGACCTAGAAGAGCAGCATCGTTCCGTTACTTTCGTTATAAACATTTAGGGTGCCTTCGTATATGTAGCAGTGAGAAGTTTGATCTTCCTTTAAATTTGTGTTGTCTCTAGAATTTCCCTGAAAATGCCGGGTGAAGCAAGAACTGTACTTCGTTTCGCGAAACTCACAGACAAAGCATTATCACCAACTAAAGGTTCCACAAAAGCTGCAGGTTTTGACTTGCGAAGGTAAAAGATGAATTTTTAATATTGTTTTTTCTCGAGTTTGTTAAGTGTGTAAATGTTAGTTTTCTTCACCAAAAGAGTTTGTTACTGTCGTACGTTGTAATTGTCGACAAAAGAAAGAAAACTTCTTAAATTTTCTTTGTCACTGTTTGTAACCTCTATTGTTATAAACTTCAAAAGCACCCGTTACAATTCCGCTTCTTTAATAACTTTGTCGGTCAAATTGTTGAACATTCGGAACCCAATTTTTAGTGTAATGAACGGAATTAATTGCATGAATTTAAGATTTCACTGATAATTTCTGTTATTGCTACTTTACTTCCATATTTTTAATTTTCTGAGTTTTCTGGTTTTAGTGCTTACACAGTAACTGTTCCTGCCAAAGGCAAGGCATTGCTTTTTACTGACATCCAGGTTGAAATTCCCGAAGGATGTTATGGAAGAGTTGCTCCCAGATCTGGCTTGGCTGTGAAGCATCATATTGATGTTGGAGGTATATATTAAGCTATCAAAATTGTATATTTATAATTTTTCTTCCTGTCTATTGACAATATTAAAATAGTTCACTCACATTTGTTGCTTAGTATGATTAATTATGGAGTGAAGACAATGTAGGTTCTCTTCCTTTATCAATAATGAGAAGTTGCTCAAGAATTAACATCGTTTTGCTTCCACAAAAGCTGGTTTGAGTTGTGGTTGCAAAACTTAAATATACCTGCATGGATAATAATAAAACTAGTTTCTTTCATATGCAGGAGATATCAAGGGGATTAGTGCAATTTTTTCTCATAAGATCATTTTATTAATAAATCAATAAATTATTAAAGTTTTCTGCAAATAAGAGGTAATTTTTTTTTAAAGATAAGTTCATTGTGTTTGGACCTTGTGGACATACACAAGGAAATATTACCATTCGGTATATCAAGTTCACATTTATAGAAGCAGAATGAAAGTTCATAATTCAAGCAATATCAGTAGTTACCAGTAATACATAATAATTTCAAACATGATTTGGGTTATTGTAGGATATATGTATAATGTGCTTTCTGTTAAAGTAGTTTGACTGAACAGTTCCTTAATACAGATTTTTGCCCTTTTGACAATTAATCGCTTATGTTCATCTACACGTTGTGTTCTTGCCTTAACTGCACCCTGATCAAACTTACATCTTTGTAGTACATTTTTCATGTATATTTTTTCTCTCTTCAAAGTGGAGTGTAAATAGAAAGTTAAAATTGTTCATGTGTTAAAATATTGAATTTTAGTGCATTATTATCCTGTATTGAATTAGAACTAATTTTGCCATGTGTTAAAATTAATTAGTTTTACTCCAAAATAATTGTAAAAATTGTTTTTTAATGTTAATTAATTGCAGCTGGTGTTGTGGATGAAGATTACAGAGGAAATCTTGGTGTAGTTCTGTTCAATCATGCAGAAGAAGCTTTTGTTGTTGAAAGAGGAGATAGAATTGCACAGCTAATTTGTGAGAGAATTGCTTATCCTGAATTAGAGGAAGTGAAGGTAACTCTGCTTTTTTCAGTAATGTTAATGTTTATACATTTCTTTTAACAACTCTATTTGGAAAAGTCTTAGTTGTTGATATGGTACCTCTAGTCCAGTATTTTTGCTGTTGAATCAGTAGTGTCGTATTTCTGGCTATTTTGCCTCAACGTATATAGCAATTCTTGATGATCTTTGTTCATACTTTTGAAGAGTCCTCTATTTTCTGTGCCAATTTTCTTGTTTTTAATGATTTAATTTTCTCTTACCATATTTTTCATATTCACTGTACTTGGAATTGCCCTTCAAAATTTGGATTGCTTCCTTGTGTCTTGTCTTATTATTTTCATATTTGTATTGATTTGAGTTTGTTTTCCACACATCCTATTTACCGAAATAAAGGGTGACCCCTAATTTCAAAGGGGCCTTGTGAGGTGTTTTATTGTTTTAATTTTATTATTCTGGGTATTCAGCTAAAATAAAATGGCATATTGGGACTCATTGTATTAAATAGATAATTTTGTTGAGATTATCTTTTTACTAGAGCTGTCCCCATTTTCACGTTTCTTATATGTATGTATTTGACATTAGTCTGATTAATCCGTGTGCCAGCAGTGTTCAGTTCTGGGTCCTGTTCTTATTTATTATTCAAGCAGTGTGGCAAGCATAAAATATTTCCATCATCATACCCAGCTTATTCTATGTACCTGAGCTTCATCATCACACAACTATAGAAACTAACAACTTTTTATCAGAAAATCTTAATTTTTGCCTCGACTGGGAATTGAACCATCATAATCATAATTTTTTGTTACTATCAACTTCATCTTCACATATATCATTCCAAAAAAATTAGATAAGATTAAGCTTAATTTGAATGGTTTTTGTTTCATCCTGGACCTCTTGCCATACAAGGTTGTTTTGACATTTTAGAGCCCAATGACAGTTTTGTATGTTGAGTTTGCATCTACTGTCATCAATCTAGTCATCTAAGAACATTTCCTTCTGACTTTTCAAATTCTCTCCCTGCCCTAATGCTATTCATGACTTCTGCTCTTCTAACAACTATTAACTTAAAATTCAAATCATTTAATGGCAGTTTTAGTTGTGGACTGCAAACAGATATACCTTTAGCTATAAACAACGGGAGTGGGGGGGCCTGGATAACTGTTGTGAAAGATGGAGTAACTTAACGTAGGTAGGGATAGCTGACAGGTGCTCTGATCAGTCACCTCTTATGACCAAGGGAGGTCTCTTGGTGCTATTCTACCAAAATCTCTTCGAACACAATACACAGCACCTCATTTTACTTTTAGGCAAATCTGGCAATTTTTCAAGGTGCAGGGTGAAGTCTCAGGAACTTCTAGAAGTTGCTTGAAAAGGATGATTTTCTTTATTTGGCCATTTTCTCATCACAAAAACTATATTAAATGCAAGAGACTTATTCTTTCATTATAGTCACTTCTCTGTAACTGGTGTCCTTTGTCAAAGAATGAATGTTGTTTTCGCATTTACCATCATTCCAGAGGCTGCTTTTTGCTCTGTTTCTTCTGGATTCCAATGGCCTTGTCATTCGCAAATATGATGTTCAGGTCTTTCCAGTTCTCTTGATATATTCTTTTTTTTTTAAATAGTAAGATTAAGGGAGTATTAAAGGGTAGTAGTGTGTGAAAACCTTGACCTAGCCTTTCATTACTTTTCATTTTTGTTTTTGATTACAATAATTAGTGAAGATGTTTTATGGTATTAATATAGAGTTTCCTTCGTGGTCTTTTGTCCATAAAAAGAAATCAACTAGCTAGTGTATCGTCTTTACCATTTCAGTGCATTGTATGAATACTTTCATCTACTATTGTCTACTATGTCATTCTACTATTGTCTTATGACCTATAAATATTGTTCCTATTTTAAACATACTGTTAATATTAGAGGAGCAAAGGATTTGATCTTCAGATTTACCCTTGGTAGTTGTATTTTATTAATATATTAATTGGAATGGACAATTTAAAAGCAATCAAATGTCTTGATACTTGAAAAATTAGGGCTAGGTGAATAATGTTAGACTGGATGGTTAATAAAACAATTTTTATCCAGTGATGGTCTTGATAAAGTTTTTCAGGATGAATCATGTGTTTGTAATACAATCCAGGGAAGTTACTTTTATGATGAATAACATAGTAATATTGAAAATAACATGCAATTGACGAAATATTTAGGACATTGAGATTGTTGGTTCAATTTTGTGACTACGAAAAGTCACCATTTAGCATTCCCCCAAAATTGTAAGTTCAAGTGGGGATGTTTTTGGTTTCAGACTCTCAGCGACACCAATAGAGGTGCTGGTGGATTCGGTTCCACTGGCACAAAATGATTTGACTGTGCTGTACTCCAAATGTGAGTATTGTAAATAAGTAAGATATTTTCTAAGTATTTTACTTTGATATCTGTGTAATTTCATTAACTTTGGATGTTAGTATAAAAGAGGATGGCATTCAATAAGGGTAGACCAGGGTCAACTGTTTTTCATAATGTTGCAAACTTCCCTTTTTGTTCTTCCTCATACTCTCCTATTTTTTGAATGTATAACAAATATACCAAGCTTACTTAGATAACCTAATAAATTTAATGTAATTAAAATCGTTTAGATCGGTATTTATAAATATAGTTCAAATAAGTGCAGAGTGGTTGCAAGAAAGGCTTCCAAAACATTGACAGCAATCTGTGAAAAGCTGTATATTGGTGTAAAAATGATTGTTTCAGCTTGATCAAATTACATTAATAAGCCTTTTGCGTGTGTGTGTGTGCGTCCTTTTTTGTTCTTCTTTTAAATAAATTTTTAACAATGAAACAATAACAGTTTGTCCTAGGAACTTATATAAACTAATGATAAACATACAGACTGTAAGATTGGAGATTTATGTAGATCTGACATGGAAATTTGCATTGGTTATTGAGCATTATTTAAGTAAGATGCTTTTCATTTATATATTTGTAACCAGGTGGGCGAAAAGATTTCGGTTAGATTAGTGGGTGAAGAAAATACACATGAATCAAAAATTTATTGTAATTAAACAATTAATTTAAATGCATTGAACTTTATTATAGAAAGAAAGAGGAAAAAAAAAAGAAATGGCAGGTAGTAGGGAACTTCAGAACAGGATTTATGTTTAAATTTTAACAATAAAGCAATGGTAGGTTTTCTGACTTTCACCAGAATTAGCTAGGTGGTAGAAGTATTGAGATAGCTTGCATTGATTTGAATAATTTAGACATTCCCAAACAACGTGCAAAACACTGCTTCAGCACTTTACCTTTCATTATGCTCTCATTCCACTCTGGAATTAATTTAACATTCCTCTTGGTTGCGTCATTTATAACCCTGAATATTTTTGCCTGTCCCTTCTCATCAAATATCAGGCCATCTCTGAACATCCAGATCGGAATGGAAGGAAGGAGTTGAAATGAACCTTTTAAAGGACTTCAATGTTAGAGGAGTTGTGAAGTAATGGACTTTATCTCAAAACTAATGAGCATCTGTCAAAGTGCTAAAATTCTTTAGGCTTAACTATCCTATTGTTTTATGATGTTTCTCCTGACACTCAAAAAGCTCATAATCAAGGTTTTGCGGGAAAGAGTTTTGCAACTTTTCAGTTTGCTTTGTGTGAAGATTAGAAGCAACTTGTCCTCTGTTTAAATACCACAAGTAGCTTGCAAATTTAGATAAGATCACATTTTAAATGTCTCTATAAATTCTTTTATACATAATTAAATAAGATTTTAAATAATTGTAAATCTTATTTCTAAGCCAATGAGGCTTCACAAGCTTTGAACCAAATTTTGACATGCACATTAATTAGAAATAAACTAATACTTCTGATGGCATCTCTCTCAGAGCCACTTACAGAAAACTGAAACCTAACCGTGAAACTTTCAAAGAGTAAATAACTTTTGCCATCAGTCTTGCATGATGAATGGCATTTAGCTCTCTAAAAGTAATGTTTTCTGGCACAAGACCACCTAAAGAATATGAAGCACAGTTATAAAAAATATTTATGGTCTTCTCTTAGCTGCAATGTTTGCAATTAAAAAATAAACCTCTTGGATATCACTTACATTTATTTTCAATTTGATTAGTTCATCACCGCTTCACTTCAAATTTTTCAGAAATGTCAGGTTGAGGGCCATTAGTCCTTCATATATTTTTCATTGGCAGCAGCCCACTTCACATTCTAAATAAGACATGTTTAAATGTTGTAAAATCATTTCATATATATCAATACAAATACTATATACATGCCTCGTAACCTACAATTACACCAATGCAAAATGGGTGTGCACTGGTTCAAAATATTACGAACATCCTTCATAAAAATACTTCGTACCCATTATTTCAATATATTCTAATCTTCTAATCAGAGATATAATATAATCAAGTTACTCATTTATTCACCATCCTTCTGTTTATTGTGTTTAATTCAGAAGTTTTGGTATTATAAAGCTCTCTTTCAAGAACATCAATAATTTCACATATTCTTGTCATTTATAATTATTGGGATGTTAGTATAATGAGATCTTTGAAGTCTTGATGTTAAAAGTTGCTTTTGTCTGCTGGCTCTCACAGGAACGTTAAATCTCATATACTGATCAGCTCAGGACAGTCCAAATAATTGTTGTGAAGTTAATATAAAAATTTAATGTCGCTCTCTTCAGTCCCAGATTTAAGTGAGGGTACCTGTAGTCTTAAAGAAAGAAGTTCACAATTATGATCAAGTAAAGATTGGGAATTCCCATTCTACTTTAAATTCTAAAACAAATTTTATTGGATTGTTTCCAGACCATTTATATACAGTTAACAAAATGGTGACCGTCACTGCCCCACATCAATATTGAATGTACAAGAAGAAAATATTGAGTTTTGAGAACTGAAACAGAATGTTACTCCTTATATGTTATAATAAAACCTAATGGCTGTATTGACTTGTTAGTAGTTCTTTCAATAGGTCCTTCAAGGTCATTTTTTAATCTTACGCCATCTCCAAGCCTTTAATAGTTGACACTTTTTCCAAGGTTCTCTCAATCACATTTCGGAATTGTGGTTGTAACATGCCAAGTAGTTCTCTCTTTCAAATAGTTCTAGTGCAGCATAGGTCCTCCAAATGACCACTTTTGCTAGCAGTAGCATCAATACACCTTGCACCCTTTTATTTTTCAACTGAGGACCTCTTATAAACTATTCAGCATAACCATAACTTACCAAAATTGCAAACCCCTCTACATTTTTATTCAATATATGCGATAGAAATCGCCCTTCCCAATGTAACGCAGCTTTTTGTAAATCCAAATTTTCTACTCTTTCTTTTTAAATTTTTGTCATTGGACTGATGCACTTGACCGACTGACAGTCAACTGCTGTAGATCTTGACCAAATGCAAAGGAGTGAAGAGTTGCCATTCTGACAGATTCCAACTGTACTCCGCTCATCTTGCATCAAACAAGTTCGGGGTAAAAATTAAAACTAGACCCATTCTCTGCAGAATTAAAAAAAGCTTTAAGGTCATTTATTTTTATTATGGTGTGATTATAATAATTCATGTCAACATTTTCTTTGCATCTATCCCAATTCTTTTCAACTACCTGGTTGAGAGCATATAATTAAAAAGCAATTTTTTTTAACTATAGGGTTCCAACAAAAAATGATATTTAAAAATTTAATTTTTTACCAAGTGACATAATTTTCCCCATTCAGTTTACCAAAAACCCAGGTGTTTCAGTCTCTTCATTGTCAAACCAGTTGGGGGGACAAATTTTTTCCCTCAACTTCAGGGCTGTTGAGGCAGACTGATCGGGCTAAAACTGTGTGAATCTCCTTTTGTTTTTCAATTGACAACTTTTTAGGAATTCCTATCAAAGAAATTTCAGAAGCAAATTACTTGTAACCACCACAGTGCAATTTCATACATTTCATATTCATTCTTATACTTGCATAGAGGTGTATAATTAATAAATTTTCTACACACATTTTATTTTAATATGATTTCAATTAATATTTACTTACTGTAATTTATTTTCACATTTTTATTTTTGTCTGTTTACTGTTTCACATTCAACCCAAGGGAAATGTCGAGTGATGAACTGTAGAAAGACTGGTGTGTCCTTGCAGAAATCACACTCCTTGCTGTGTCTAGCAGCCTATGCAGGCTTGGTAAGCTTAAGCACACAAGCTGTAACGCTGCTACCAAATAGCAGTAGTGCAATGGACATGTCCTCTTGCTCCTGCATATTCATCAATGACGTTAGTCAGTCACAATATTCTTTCTTCGATATTTCAGTGATTTGGCTGTTCAAGGAGTTTTGCACCTGGATCCATACAGTTCATAGACTTACCCTTTTTTTAAATGGTGATTCAGACGTATCATGCTAATTTACTGCAATTAGTCTTAAACAAAAGGGTCTGTGGAGTGAGTATAATTATTTGTGGGCAGTGCCAAACATTCTGACAATCTACCAAAAGTTTAAGCATTTTTACAATTAGCATTGTAATCAAACATTTTGGTTGCATGAAAATTTGTGCATTTTGAAGAGAGTAATAAACTACTGTAACACCATGATTTTGAGGAGTCCAGTAAATTTTTGCACAAGTGAATGAGATATTCTGTAATGACAATTATTTAATTTTGTATGTTTTCATTTGACTCTCAAATGTGTTTGGTGTAGGGTAATCAGGTCAACAAACTTGACCTTGGCAAGAAACAATAAAATTGTTTGTGTTATTCCTGGTTTAAAATTATTTTAAACTTAAATTTAAAAATAATTAAATTCGGCAGTTGTGATTGCAAGTGCTAATACTATATAGAAGGCATCTGAGAAGTATCCTATGCTGTATACTACTACACTGAATGATCAAATGTGCACAAGCTATTGAGAAGTTATTGTGTACAGTTTTGTTCAAAACTATTTCAATAGCTCTGATAAAGTAGGAAAACTATTCGAAAGGGTTTGCCTTGTTCAGAAAGGTGAAGTTTCCTTGTAGACTCATGAAACTTTCTATTACAATGGGTGAAAATGATAAGACGTATAGAGCTATTGTTATTATTGTAAAATGTAATATTAAACATGCTGAAGGACTACTGTTTCATCCAGGACCAGCCTCACGATTGTTGGTTGATGATTTACTGCTACCACTGTACACCATATACAAGGTCAAATATGGTTGTCTACTATCTATGCCCACCTATTCCTCCAAAATGTGTGGAAGGTTTCTGCTACAATCTGAATTCAAATGGATAGTTTGACCATACCATACAATTTGGTTTCTCCTGTCATATGCAAAGAAATTGTAAGACAAAAAAGTGATAAGGTGTGAAAAGATATTTCTCTACACATCAGTCTAGTAGTAATTACCCTTCATGCCAACCTTTAGACCTAGCATTCTCTAAAGTATATTTCCCCTCTTATGGATGAAAGTATTTGAGAGGAGAGGTGTTACTCATTTTTAAGGTTTCAATGTATTAAATTGAATTATTTTTAAAAAATGATGCTTTTTTTCCCTGCAGCATTACATAACTCTCTCTATTGCATAAGCGGTAGCGAGAAAGCAAAAATCACGATTTAAATATTTTTCTTGGGAATTGGTAAAATGAAATTTTTTTTCCTATGTCAATTTCTATTTTTCAAAATTGATGTTTTGGCACCATCTTGCATAACATTTTCTGCTCTTTCTAGTGAAATTTACCTATATGCATTGACATAGTGGTTGTTTAGTTTTCTTTTCGAAGTAAAGAGCACTATGTTCAGTATTGTAAAACCTGAGAGAAGATAAGATGAGTCACTGAGAGTGACTTCAGTAATAAAAAAAATTAAAGCAAAGAAGTGAAGAAACGTCGCGTGAAAAACAAAAGAGAGTAGCATAACATTCTTTTGGCTCTTCGGTAAAATTTGCTTTTTGTGACAGCGTGCTTTTCTTCTGGGATACAGATGTGTAAAATCTTATAATATGTTGAACAATTTCAAAAGTGAAAATAGAAATCAAGATGACTGGTTTTACTCCAATGTGCAGGGTAATTCCAATAAGCACACCATATTACAGCAAACTGCTAGAGAATTACATAAATTTGGGAATAGATAAAAAATTAAGTTACAAAATAAATTTATTGCTCATCTGCATGGACATTGCTTTTTGTTTCCAGATCTGTGCTCAGGCAGTTGGAGATGGAGGAGAATCTTCACAACAACACCTTTTCCAGTAATTTATCTAGGTAGCTTAAGTTGACTACTGTTTACTGTTATCTTTGTATCTTGTCAAGAAATAAATGTGAAATGTACCTCACAGTTGTATTGTATTTATTATTTTCTTCTCTAGCTAAAGCAGGGGGCGTATGGTAATTACAATATACACCCCAGCAGCTAGCCAATCAGCTTCCCCTCCCCTTCCATTCACTGAGTAGTCACGTGACAAAGATTCTTTACTACAACTAAATTTTTTGAAAATCAATAATTCCAACATGCAATTATCACTTCCTCACAATTTGTATTTAAGACTTATTAAAGTTAATGAAATTAATCTTATAATAAATCTATGTATGTATCTATATAATGAAGTGCAAGCAATCCTCTGGTGCTGCAGGACACTTCACATTCATCATAGTATCATGTTATGTAAAATGATCACGTTATTTTGAGAGCACAACTGCAGATATCTGCTCGGAAATCATTTTTAACTACTGCTACAAAAGCACATACTATTTGCGATATTGTTAATGTCTGTGTAATATTAAAATATGACGATTTGTCTTACTTTATAATTTGAACAATTCTTAAACAAAGCCTGAAAAATAATTAAAAACTGTTTTCTGACATTGAATGCAGTGTATTCAGTTCTACATAAATGTGACTACGCATATTTTAGTGAAATAAAATCATTTGTGTATTGGCGCAAGCCACGGTGTCTCTTATCACTTGTTATCTGTTGCGTTATAATAATGGTTTGCAACAAGCAACAATGACCGCTAATTCGTATGGGATACAGATGTTGCAAATCAGCATTCTTAATATCGCTAACAAATACTACAGGAAAATGGGTGGAAAAATATAATGAAAAATATTGTTATATTCAATAACAATACTGTTTTTACATGCATTACTTGTCATTCCCACATCTTACTATGCAAATAAAAATCATTTTCAGTTTTCACATTTAAATCAAGGAACACAATTTAAAATAGATTTAATAATTAAATAATATTAAACTTCCTTTTCAAGATGTGAATTGACAGCCTTACAATGGTCAATGTTCACCAGAGAGAAGAATTCAAGATATTTCACTATCTTGTTGCTGTTCAACAATGAACTTTTTCAAACAATGTTTCCACAGCTGCATTGTTTCCCAAGGCAGCATAGGTGGTAATAAGAAATGTTTGTGCAAATTTATAGAAACCAACTTTTTCAATTTCCTTTCATTTTAAGTATTAGAAATAATAACAATATAATCCAAACCCAACCAATTCAAACCAAACGCCTGTGATGCATACTTGCATTTATTTTGATATCCAGGAACAGTAGTCATTTCTGACTTACAAATAAAACATATCATAATGGGCGATCAAAATTTCTAGAAGTGTTAGTTCTAAGTTAAATTTATTACCTTCCATCAATTACTTTCTTTTATAAGAATAGCAATAGGCTCCAAACCTCTCATATTATGTTCACGAAGTGCAGGAAATTCGAAGTGGGCGACTATGATGCCAAAATTCTCCAAAAATACTCACATTTTCAAAAAATTGTACGTGACCTTATTTGATGAACAAATTTCATTACGGGGAAAATTGCATCTTCACCGTTGATGGAAGATACTGAAAGTTTACAATTATTGAAAAATTAGGCATTTCAACAATCGTGAGACCTGCACTTCCCTTAAGCATTCTTTGGGCTAAGGTCCAAATTTAGTTTTAAAGAAAATAAAAATTGCCTGTTTGACACAAAACTTGGTAAAAAAAATTCTCATATTTTCGAAAAATTGAACATGACATTATTTGAATATGTTTTTGATGAACACATTTCATTAAGAAAAAAATACTTGTCAAAATTGTAGTTGTAGGATGACGCATTTTTTTTATTTTTTTTTTTCAAAAATCATTATTTTCAACGAACATGAAACCAGAACCATTCTCTTACGCGTCCTGTACGCTATCCGAGGTCACAATTTAATCAAAGTTGGTGCCATTTTTGAGGAAAAAATGTTTAAACAAAATTAAAAATTGCATATATTTCACGCGAAAAGTACTCAAGTTTTCGAAAAATTGTACGTACATAAACTTCAAGCAGAAACTACACATTCTTTCAACAAAAAAAGAATATTGTACGTGACCTTATTTAAAAATTAATTATTTAGAGCAGATTTTAAGAAAAATTCCCTATCAATATTGAACTTCTGCAATTCTCGAATATACAGCCATCAAAAATGGGATCAGTGCCAGTTTTCTTATCGTCCTTTGCTATATCTGAGGGGAAATAAATTAGAAAAAGTCTTTTTAGAGGAAATGTTCAAATAGGAATATATTTTACACAAAATATCGGGAACACTGACGTCATTTAAAAATTACTGAGCTTATAAAGTAAAAAATTTCCTTAGATAAAGAAGACGCCGAAAAAATGATAAACTTTTGAAAATGAGATCGCCATTTTTAAGAACTCTCTGCACTACGCGAAGACCAGTTTAATAAAAGAAATTCTAGCCATTTTCGAAAGAAAGAAAAATGAAAATAATGAGGCTTAATGTAAAGTACCCCCCAAAATCAAAATATTCGTGTCAAACTCGCAGGGCCTCGAGTTCGTTCAGATCGATCGGGAAATATCAATTTCGGAGAAAATCTTTTGAATTATTCAAGTGCTACCATTGACCACAAACGGACGGACGGTCACTGAAAGACGTGTTGGCATTCATTGATTTTCTGTACCAAGGACTCGCACTCATGTGTAACTCGTTTAACAATGTCAATTATTTTGTAACGTTTCTCCGTGGTGAATTAAAACACACACACACTCACTCAGGTATTTAAACAAAAACGTTTATTCGTAAAGAATTATACATTAAAACTACTTGATTTATTTACAGGTATATTACACAGTTCTTGTGCTCTTCACTTAATTATTTTTCTTAGACACGACTCCGTTCTCTTGATTATTTATTTACACAGTCAATTCAATAAGTATTCACTTCTTATTATTTATTTACACTGTTTTCTGCAATTTACACTATCGCACAGTCCTATGCAGTGTCCACGGTCCACTGCGCTGACCACCATCCACTGCGCAGACCACAATTCACAGAGCAGACCACAATTTACAGCGCAGACCACACTTCACTGCACACACCAGGGTCGACTGCACCATTGTTCACTGCAATGCACACTTTACAGCTCAGCTTCCACTTCAGACACACTGACGGACTGACTGATCAGTAAGTGTACTTACTCGCGGCTGCTTACTTCCGACCGACTACTTACACTGGCATACACTGACTCGCGACCGCCGACAGCGGCGCATTTACACCTAGCCGGCGCTCGTCTCGACACAACCAACACTTGCTCCACCTTCCCCCGCGACTCGCGAATAGTCCGGAACCGTCCAGTTGGGGGGAAGGGAGGGCGCCGGCAGATGACGCGATCCGTGCGCAGCGAATACCGGCAGGTGATGCAATATTCGTTACAATTTGTTCGCAATAGTTGTTTTTAAACATGATAAGCGGATAGGGCCCTTTTGAGCACCAATTGAC